GGGGGGGGGGGGGGGGGGGGCATTTTCATTCCTTTCCTCCGGTTGTTGAGGCATTGGAGATGGAGGCGGTGGCTTTGTCCAAGGCTCGTGATGATGTTGTTGTCTGAGCCTCAGTTTAGCGGGGCTAATTCTGTCAAATACACTGCCTGGCCTCCTATGTCTTTGCCCTTGCTCATACGGAGGTGGGAAGTTATCATGGTGAAAAGGGGCCTCGGTTGGTCGGCCAGAAGCGTAGTTGGAGAAAACGTCAACTTCTACTTCCCTTTCAAATGGGTTTATACCTTGGCTATAGTCCAACGAGGTAGCCCTATGGCTTTGAACTTCATCTTCTTGTTGGTATTGCCTTTGAGGGGCATATGGAGGAATAGGGAAGCCTCCCTGGCCCTGCATTTGGGCCATAAGTTCCCTCATAGCCATATTTTGGCTAGCGATGTCCCTCATATTGGCTGCCATGGCGGCCATTTCTCTTGACAGCCGGGCCGTCGCACCCATTCCAGTTCTTTGGTGGTTATGATGGGGTCTATGCCGAGCCGCTGGGGCTGCTGCTTGAGGGGGCACACTAGCATTTTCTCTTACCCTCCTGAGGGGTGTATCTTCGTTTGAACTCATTTTTCTTGTGTCTTACCCTTCAGATTTTTGCTAAGACGTGGGGCTTCTTCTTGTTCTTTTTCAAGAACAAATCATTTTTCAAGGGGGATGCCGAGATGTTCCTCTTTAACAGGCTTTCACCACAAGGTTGTTCGTGATTTTGGTACGGTTTCCCACAGACGACGCCAATCTGTTGACCCCAATAAATGTTGCCAACAGATACCGGACCTACCTGCGCTCACGTAAGCGAAAGTCCAATACGCAAAGACATGTGGATGGTCTAAAAATGACAGATCAAGGGCATGGGAATAGCTCAATGACGCGGGACGAGAACGTTCAAAATCCGACGAGATGATCGTAGACCGATTGTACAATAATTACCAATCGATGTTTGCTAATGTGTATCTAAATATGTATGAACTCGTTTATGTTGCAAGATAATAAGAAAGAGAGAGTGAGTTGAGTAAAGTATGGTTTCTTGTATTGATTCTTGCATTATCCCTTGTATGGGGTACATAGTGGAGTATTTATAATGTCACAAGTTGGATCGTGACCTTTGGTTTTGGGGTACACGTGGTCTCATCTGGTTAATTTACATGTCAAATTTTAGACATCAGCCGCACCTAACCTGTTATACATTTATTGAATGGCAGAGCCGCCTCTACTAGTGACGAGATTTAACATTTACACTCATGACAAACGTCCCATCAATCATTCAAACACGATCTTTATGCAGAAAATCTCTTAGGAGAGGTGTCTATGGAAGATGTTGTTTTGTGCTTTGGATGCTATCACCTCGGCTAAGGAGCTTTGGCAAACAGGGCCTCGTCCACCTTCAAAGGGCCTCAGTATATGGGCTTTGAAAGCTCCTCATGAGGCAAGGATAAATAGGCCTCGATTTGTGGGCTCGGCTATGCAAATCACCTCGAATTGAGTGCCATGTGATTCGGCATGAGCTGGCTGTGGGCCCCGATGAATTGTCCAAGTGTGCAAACAAGTAACATCATTTATACTAAAGTTTAAAGTAAAAAAAAAATATCAAGCAAGCTAACTTAAAAAATTGGAAGCATGTAGAATATGATTTCAGTATGATGCATTAAATACAATCCCGGTTTAGAGTCCATTATAATGAGATTTTTGGTCAACAACACATTGATCTACAGTAACAAAATATGGAAAATTCTACGTGTACAATATTGGGTCACAATGGTACGTGTACAGGTGAGATTCAATAAACTGGATGGCTAAGATGTAAAAAGAAAAAGCACAAAAATCCACTACAAAGAGGCGGGAAATGAGTTGTACAGCAATCAAGAAGTCATAAAAAAATAAAAATCAAACATTAAACTCCTAATATTCTCATATGAAAATGCCAAAATTCTGACATTGAATTTTCAACGAATCCCGGTGACGAGTTCGAACTCGACTGACCATATCTTACGCATTTTCCCAATGACGTCAAGAAACCCAGCATTGCAAACTGACTATATTCTATCAAAGGCCTGATTCACACATTTTTTTCCCGGTAGCACTCCATCTTTAACCTTTTCCCCAAAGACCAAGAAGCCCAAAATTTCCCAGGTATATTCAAATAAATGTATGATTGCTGTTTTCAGAATGAAATTACTGTAAATGTGAATTTGTTCAGCTAAAAGTGCAAATCTGAATTTATGATCCTTCATGCAAGTTTTACGAGGATGTGATGAGTGGTCAATGCTCGCACTAAATATGCGAGATGCATGATGGGTGTCTGCCTCAATCCTGATTACGAAAATTGGGCACTCTTGTTTTCACCAATCTAATCCCTACTCTTAAAAAACAAAAAGTAAATGTGAATTTGTTCTGCTAAAAGTGAAATTGTTATGAATGTGAAATTGTTTTGCTAAAAGTGTATGCTAATTTTTTCACAGGAGAACAAATTATGGAACAGGTGAAAAATGATTCTTTGGTGGAATCCGAAAATGTCAACGTGGAATGTAATATGATTGTAGTTGAAGACGAAACGGTGGAAGGGGATGGAGTGGTTGTGTCGAAGTTGGTATGAAGTTCAAGGATGAAGATGAAGTCTTTGATTTTTACACATTATATGCTTACAACAGGATCAAGAAGGCACGGGATTATGACGGGAGATTGGAGAAAGTCAGTGGAGCACCATAATTAAACAATTGAGTATGGTTGATGAAATGCTAGTAATAAATATTTTCAAGTGGTTTTATAAGATTCAACTGTACCTATGAAAACATTCAAGGATCTTCCCTATTGCAAATGGCATCTGATTTCAATTCTTAAGTTCATAAATGTAGTAACTATAACATTAGCTGCAGTGGCATACCATTTATTATTGTACAACTTTGGTTTTTATCCCTTTACTTATCCTAAATCCATTGGTAGGAATCACTGTCTTCAAGTTGATAAATGTAGTAACCATATCATTTGGATGATGTTAATATAACAAAAGTTGCTATCGAAACCAAACAAAAGTATTACGAACAACGAATGATGTTAATACGACAAAAGTCTTTGCTATTACACGACACTACAATCAGGCTGCTAATACCAAAGATGCATACTGCGAAGACACCGGTTATGCACCTTTGTCTTACAAGTAGAACAGAGAGTGTGCCCATTGTGACACTGATGAATTGGAGGTTTCATAAAATTGGTGCAAACCGAGCATTTGAGCGATTCATGGACGCTTATGGGATCAAATCCACAAGAAACTGATGACTGGATATCTTCATCTTCAATTCCATCTGATGAAGATACACACTCTGTGCTATCCATTTCAATTGTTGCCATTTTGGAACAATCTCAAATTCCCACATTCACAAATCTCAGATGCCCAATTCCAAAAATCCAATCACTTGGGGAAATTTTCCTCTTCAAATCATCTTCCAGTTCCAAATATTCAATCTACTGCCAAAATCCTAGATGCCCAATCTAGAAATCCAACCTTTTACCAAAAAAAAAAAAAAAGGGAAATGTTTTAGGTATACCAACAACAGGTGACTTTTAAAAAATTCAAAAATTTCGTATCTTACACGAGCTGGCAATGAGTTCGGTTATTGTGACGACAAAGCGGGATGTGTGAAGACGGTTAGAGGAGAGTCGATAGCTGGAGGAAAATGGTGGTAGCTTATAAGAGGCCGGACTGCTTCTATGAATGTTCGTACATGCTCAATCAGCGGTTACAACTGGAAGAAATGGAGGCAATGAGTGAAAGAGAGGAGAGTTTAGGGTGAGACTTACCCATTTCATTTTAGGGGGAAGGGGAGAGAGAGTGAGAGTAATGGTTTACTTTACTTTTCATTTTGTTTTTAAAATGAATCCACGTTAGTTTGTAAACTACTGTTGCCAAGCAGTGTTGTACGTCTAGCGGGATTGAACAAACATTTTAAAATGCAAAAACGGAATCAGTTTTATCAGACATTTATCTGTATTAATTGGGCTACTAATAATTGTATTAACACATAATGACAAAATGAACCACCTATGCAATTGGGTAACATTGGAAAATTAGATGAATAGTAAGTGGAGAACACGTGGAAAAGTGAAGAATGTGTGGCCCTGGACGAATAGAAAAATTTCTATTTTTGTGAGAATAAAACAACATTTTTAGGCGGGGGGCCCACCAATTCGGAAAATGGGAAGAAAAATGAACAAACAATAATGTTACTGACCTCTCTTTCAGTCATTATTTCATGGTCCAAATAGGTACACTTAATTTTCGTAGCTACGACAAAGTACATTGCCATTTGTGTACCTCCACCAGTACTTTTTGATGTAGATAGATTAATTTAATTTATTTTCGACTCTTACATGATTCGAAAGAGGTTAATTCTATCAATGGTTACTGGTGTTTATAATAAATTTCAAAAAGGATTAATAAAGTAATTTTGTAATAACGATTGCTTTAATAGTTACTCAATAAAAGAAATAACAAAGACAGATCCTATACGTTGTTAGTAATTTGCAATATGTATGTTTAGTTGTTTTTGTTGAAGTAAATATTAGTGAATGAATACTGGATTTGCACTGGATATGCAGTTTATCGGATTGATACATACCGTATATGTAACTTGTTAGATTTATACATACCGTATGTGCAACTTACCTTACATGCACCTTACCGTATATGCAAATCATTGTATATGCAGATTACTATATATGCAGCTTACTGTATATGTGTTCACGAAATATTTTCTTTCGTTTTAAATCACCATAAATGTACGGTTCGTTAATAAGTAATAAAGTAGATTTTTTAGAGTCCAAATATCGTCCCACAAAGATTGAGTAGTTCAATTTTACCTAGTGTAGCCTTAACTGAAACGAAATTACTCAATGTGAATATTTACCTAAATAAACCCTAATTTTAGAAAGAAAACCCTAATTTGGACACTAATTTATGAAAATCATAATTATGCAAAATTGAATATTGGAATGAACTCAGATTGCAAAACGATATTTTAATGAATTAAAATGCAAATTATATGCTAGAGCGTGAATTTGTTGTATTGAATGGAAATTAAAAACACTAGGATTAGGATTCCCATGCAATTATCACTTTAAACCCTAATTTCACAATGTGACAACACACTTAAATTATTGAGGAATCAGTGCTCCTAATCTATCCAATACTCTCTCTCAAGATGTATTGAACCTACTTTTACATACCACCGGCCTATACTTCTATGACAAGTGCACATATAAAAATACATACGGTCTTGTGAACATTTAAAAATTCACGTAGTGTATAGTGGTACATTTCTATCCCCTATCGGATTCTACGATGATTTATAGTATGTCGAACATATTCCAATTCTCTCGAATGCAAGAATAAGCCATCTAAACTCACAAAATTACGAACCCTTAATCATGAAAACAAAAATTGCATATAAATCATTCAAAATAATCAAAACGTGTTTTTAATGTCAAATTGTAAAACTAGAAAATTAAAGATCAAATCACATGGTACATCGATCTCCTAGTACATGAAAATCTAGCCTAGCATTGATAAACTATAAGAATACATCAGATTTTGAAGAAAGAACATCACTGGATTATGAATACTTGATAAATCTTGAAAATCTTCATGCAATTCTTCGTTACTTGTGCTCAAAATCCTCTCCAATATGTGGTTTCTTGCCTCCCAATGCTTTCTGTCCCGAAATATGACGGCTCTAGATTTTTATATCGTGTCTCAATCGAGTTCCAAAAGAATTATAACACAAAAAGGACACTACAGAATCGCGACATAACTTTACACCATGCGTAGGGTTGGCAACGGTTTGGTTATGGGTCGGTTCGGCCAACACCATAACCGCACCACCAATTTTTTGACCATACCATAACCGCACCATAACCACGTAAATCGGTTTGGTTTGGTTCAATTCGTATCTCGGTTCCACACTGTTCGGTTCGGTTAATAACCACGAAAATAATTTATTTTTTATAGGTTCATTCGTTAAATTGAAAAAAGTCAATGAAAATAAAAACACAATATTCCAAACGAAAATGCAAACATTATCAAACAATATTCAAATGAAGTTGTTGTGCATCGAAGTTACTGGATTCACTCTTAATTGTTGTGTATCGAAGTTACTTGATTCACTCTTCCCCACAAGTCTTACTAGCATAGATCAGCACTCAAAGTTGATTCCTATATAGTAAATAAGAGATGTAAGTAGAGAATATAATGATACTACCTATTCAGAATGGTCTTTACTAAGATTTAAATAAAAAAAAATGTACTTCTTCATCAGCTTCCTTCTCGCTAAACATTGCACAAGCTCTAGAGTATGATGAAAAAGTAGAATTTTCTACACACAATAAGCAAAATTTAACAACAAAAGGAGCCGTGCGTGAGTTTGTGGTTTGTGGAGAGCAGAGTTTGTCTTTATATATTGTTATACTAATGCTATTATTATGGGCTAATGGTAAGTGGGCTGGCCGACTGAGTCCGGTAGATGTAATAGATGGGATTTTGTTTTGTGCTAGATAGAAAAGTAGTGTAAAGCCCAATAATCAATTCAATTGTGTGAGTTTTTTTTTTTTTTTTTTTTTTTTTTTTTTAAGCGGGTAATCGGTTCGGTTTCGGTTCGATGGCGTAAATACCATACCCGCACTATCACAAACCAATTTATTAAAATCAAAACCATATCCACCCCATCACACCATCGATTCGATTTTTTTCTCCCCATTCGATTTGGTTAGCCGCAATTTTCGATTTTGACGGTTCAAATTACCATCCCTAACCATGCGACCGCATGGTGTTAATCCACGTGGTCGCATGGTTGAATCAATTTCCTGGATTTTAATCTCGAATGGGGGCTGTGCGGCCGCATGGGTATATTCCATGCGGTCGCATGGTTGTAATTTTTTTTGTGTCATTTTAGTCCCCAAATTCAATCTTCTTGTTTCTTGGTCTCTTTTCTTTGACTCTTTTGTTCCATCATATCATATTGACCTCCAAATGGCACTTGGTACTATAAATTTTTCGATTGTTCCTTTGGCTCATCTTATGGATATTTGCACTTTGGTCCCTGAACTATCACTTCGATTCATTTTGATCCTTTTTGCTTCTTTTTCTCATGAATTCCATCAAGTCCATCACTATACCCTACAATCCAACAATTGAACGAATTTAACCCACAATTTAAATCTTTTGCTCGTAATTTAGTCATGTTTGTACATTAAATAAGTGCACATTTTCAATAATGCGAGAATAGAATTTACCTTTACTTGTTGGGTGCAAAACTCATCGTGTGTGTGTGTATTCATACCAACATAGCAAGCTCATGATTGGTTTAATCCCGACCTAAAAATGGTCAAATATGTCCTTACTTCGCTCGAGAGATGCACAACCCCCAAACTTATTCTTTACACTTAATTATCCCAGGGTTGTGTTTTAAAGTTAAGGATTTAGGTAATAGTAGTCCTTACTCTCTCTTTGTTTGGATAGATCCCACTATTCTAGGTTCGCATGTCAGCAAGTGAAGGCTCTCCTTGATTTGATTACTTTAACACTTTAGGTTAAACTAAGTTACTTTTCTCGCTTTGAAGGTGTGATTCTTATCAACCGAATGTTCAAGGGCTTCATTCATACCATCCTATTCTGTATTATTAAAATAATAATAATATTATTATTTTATTCATCTTCTCATTTACTTTCTATATAACCACTGTAGCGAGTTTTAGGTCGATGACTCCCAAACCAGTTGACTTTAGGGCACCAGGTTTCAAACCTTTACAACCTTATTTGCTCGAGTTATAAAAGCTCGATCAGATGACTTTTTTTGTTAACCTCTTTCCCTCTTGCTTTCGATATTACCCCTGTAACTAGATTTAGACTGATGACTCCGAAACCAGTTGGTTTTAGGGTAGCAGATTTCGAGATATCCTTAAAGGCTTACTTGCTCGAGTCATAAAGGCTTGGAAATGTGTCATATTTTCTTAACCTAGATTTATGCCCTTTTATTTTTCTAGATATTTGGTCTCTAAAATCAACCCCCAAATTAAGACTTTCTCCTAGTCTTCATCTCAGTTGTCTAGGCAATCCACACAACTTAATTCATGCACAGAGTCCCCATTTATCTCAATGTTCCCTTATAATTGTTAAACCGTCTCCAAACTTTGCATTAAGGCATTTTGGTCTATGGATCTACATTATGGCTAAATCTAGTCGAGGCTTTCTAGTTTCTTCTACTTTACTCAAACACAATCACTTACCTGACATGTATGGTATAAGTGACGTGCATATGGAATGTCAAGTACTAGCCCAACAAGTATTAGTTAATTAAATTCTGCACTACATTTACAGTTCCTAACACATACCTATTCCAATAATCACATCATTGCCGATAATCTATCAAACCCACACAGGCATGCAATGAACCAACTATAGTATATTAATGCATTAATCACTCGTCAAGCACACAATGTTCAACCAGTGTCACAGAATTGAAAATTTACATTACATGCCGATAATTGTGTTTTCAAAAGGGCCACGTTCAAAAGATGCCACCACCCCCCAAATTTATACATTACATTGCCCTCAATGTGAAAAAAGGTTTCAAAAGGCATATTTTGAAGACAAGTGCAAATTAGAATTAGCAAATGAGTGAAATAAAAATCCCCTGATTACTGTGGTGGTGGTGGCTGGCAGCTAGGTCCTGTGGTATCGTTGTCCGGTGGATGTGAGAAATGAGCCAAAATTTGCCTCAATAGATCCGACTGCTGGACTTGCTCTGCCTGCATGGTTCTCATCATACT